TCAAACTCTACTACAAAGCAGTAATAATCAAAACAGCATGATACTGGAACAAATGCAGAACTGCAGACCAGTGGAATAGGGTTGAATACACTGACATCTCCCCTCAATCATATGATCATCTAATCTTTGATAAAGGTGCAAGTAATGTGAAGTGGAGTAAGGAAAGCCTCTTTAACATAGTGTGCTGGCAGAACTGGACGGCTACATGCAAAAAAGTGGGCTCAGAACTCTGCCTAACACCATGTACAAAAGTAAGATCAAAATGGATTAAAGACCTCAACATCAGACCAGAAACCATAAGGTACATTGAAGACAAAGTTGGCAAAACCCTCCATGACATTGAAGCTAATGGTATCTTCAAAGATGCCACGCCACTGGCCGAGCAAGTGAAAACAGAGATAGATAAATGAGACTATCTTAAACTAAGAAGCTTCTGCACCTCCAAAGAAACAGTGACCAAAATACAAAGACAGTCTACAGAATGGGAAAGGATATTCGCCGAATACACATCTGACAAGGGGTTGATATCAAGGATATACAAAATACTGGTTGAACTCCACAAGAAGAAAACATCCAACCCCATCCAAAAATGGGGCAATGAAATGAACAGAAACTTTCTCAAAGAAGAAACCCAAATGGCAAAAAAGCACATGAGAAAATGCTCTACATCATTAATCATCATGGAGATGCAGACCAAAATCACAATGAGATACCATCTCACACCTCAGAGACTGGCCCACATCCAAAAGAACAAAAGCTACTGATGCTGGCGCGGATGTGGCAAGAAAGGAACACTCCTTCACTGTTGGTGGGAATGTCGACTGGTTCAGCCCTTCTGGAAAGCAATATGGATGATGCTCAAAAAATTAGAAATTGAGCTCCGATTTGACCCAGCAATACCACTCCTGGGAATATATCCCAGAGAGGCAAAAATGTATAGTCGAAGTGACATCTGCACTTGTTTGTTCATTGCAGCACTCTTTACGATAGGCAGAAACTGGAAGAAACCTGAATGCCCAAGAACAGATGACTGATTAAAGAAACTTTGGTACATCTACACAATGGAGTACTATGTAGCTGTTAGAAAAGATGAAGTCATGAAATTTATGTACAAGTGGTACAACATGGAAAGTATCATGCTAAGCGAAATGAGTCAGAAAGAGAGGGATAGACATAGAAAGATTGCATTTATCTGGGGAATATAAAGTAACAAAATATGAGATTAATACCCAAGAATAGCTGAGATCAGCACAAGGAGGATTACTCTATAGCTTAGAGGTCAGTCATGCATTCTAGGGGAAAGGGCAGCTCAGATAGAGAAGGGAGCACCAAATAAGGGATGTTTGGAGGATCCTCCCAGGAGGGCAGATGCATGTTGAAAGTAGACTATGGACTGAACATGTTTGCCACTCAAAGCCTCTTTTGCAGACCACAACACCCAAAAGGAGAGAGAGAACACAAGGGATCTCCCTGCCACGAGGCAGGGTGGGATGGGAGGGATGGGGGTGGGAGGGATATTATCCATGGTGGTGGAAAATGGGCACTGGTGGAGGGATGGGTATTTGATCATTGTATAATCTAAACCCAAGCACAAAAAATTGTAAATCTACAACTGTACCTCATGGTGTTTAAAAAAAAAATTCGGAATTTAAAAAAAAAATTAAAATGCTGTTGTTAAATGAAAAAAAAAATAAGTGAAAAAAAAGGACCTTTAAAAAGGCCAACACAAGCTGGGATAGAGAAGGGACCACTAAGTAAATGATGGTTGGAGAACTCGCTCGGGATGGAAGATGTGTGCTGAAAGTAGACTAGAGACCAAACATGATGGCTGCTTAGTACCGTCACTGCAAACCATAATACCGAGAAGGAGAGAGAGAAAGAGAGAATGTGCCTGCCACACACAGAGGCGGGGAGGGGTGGGGGGACGGGCGAGGGTGGCAGGAGGGATACTGGGAACACTGTGGTGGAGAATGGGCACTCGAACATTGTATGACCAAAACATAATCATGCAACTTTGTAAGTCTGTAACTGTATCTCACGGTGATTCATTAAAATTTAAAAATAAAAATTTGATAAATAAAAATAAAAAGGCCAACACACAAAAAAATACTACTGTCGGACTGGAGCAATAACACAGCGGGTAGGGCGTTTGCCTTGCACGTGGCCTACCAGGGTTCGGTTCCCAGCATCCCATATGATTCCCTGAGCACCATCAGGAGTAATTCCTAAGTTCATGAGCCAGGAGAAAACCCGTGTGCATCGCCAGGTGTGACCCAAAAAGCAAAAAAAAAAAAATCCTATTGTCAAATATAATCCATCTGTAAATTCCTCTTGTCACTGTATATATTTATTCACAGCCACTTTCCTATTACTTTAGGAAATTGCAAAAACCCTTAGTCTTAAGTTCTATGTTACCAAGAACAAATTAAACCTCCCATTTCTTTTTCTGGCTGAACTTCTCTGATTATCATTTATTTTCTTTCTCCCTTTCATTGCTGTTCAAAATTTATTTATCTTCTTGGCATCATAAATATGAATAAGTATTTACAATCAAGCAAATATTCATATGGATCTTTTTCTGGCTAACCTAAACAAATTCTCAGGTGAAATTGCATAAATATTCTTGGCTTCCATACCTTTGGTATTCTTTGGTATTCTGCAGCAATTATTGGGCAAAGTGACTCACTTCATGGGGTCTCTGAGAAGAAGCTCTCAGCATAGATGAGTTTCTGCACTTTCCTAATTTCCATCCAAATTATTCCTGGATGGTTGATGATGGAGACTGAAGCTCTGATCCCAGGCAGGAGAGCAGGACAGAGTCAGGCATTGGTCCCCAGTCAGAACTCCAAAAGAAATACCCAAGTACCCTCCAGCCACAGGTTCAACAGACTGAAGGACAGCAGTAGAGAATATATGCGAAGCTCCCTCTCTTTGCTAATTAGCACATTTCCCTCTGTTCCTCAGACCTCGAACTAATTGATTTCCCAAGAGGATGCTGGTGTGGCCTGAAAGGAAAGAACTAATTGATTTCCCAAGAGGATGGTGTGGCCTGAAAGGAAAACTTTCTTCTCTAGATCTGCTCCCTGGGGACACGTTACAAGCCAAGTAAATTCTATTATTACTCTTCTCCTTGATATCTCTCTCCTCATTTTAGAGCCCTGAACTCCCTTTACTTCAACTCTGAGACCATATTTCTTCAAAGTCTGACTGGGTCTTTTCTGACTCCATTACTCCCTGGACTTCAAGGTATTGGTCTCTGAGGAAGGATAACAAGCCCTTATACAATTGTTATTCTCCTCCTATAAGATAAGCAAATCTTTCCCTTCTTTCCCTTGAATAGTCAAGACAGATGAGTTAACAAATAACATCAACATAACGACTAGACTGGAAATTCTGATGACTACCAGAGGGAAAGATAGAAGGAGAGGATGGAGGCAGTCTGCGATGTCATTGGAATGACTCTAGAATTTTGGTGGTGACTATATGAGGTTCATACAACTTTAAGTAGTCACACTCCCAAAATTTAAGTAGTATTGCAAATAAATGTAAAATGAATAAAAGTATAAAATTATAAAATTTATGCTTCTAAACTGAAACAGAAACCCTCAGTAGGGATGGAGAGGTAGTACAGGAGGTAAACCTCTTGCCTTGAATATGGCTGACCATGAGCACATGTTCCTGCTCCAAGAATCACTCTCATCCAAAAGGTCCATACACACAGCCACACATACACATACACATACACACACTTCCCTTAGTGCACCTTTCATGGTCAGTGATCCTTCCATGTGAACACTGTTTATGCTGTGAGTGTGTGCAACAAGTGGGGCCAGGTCCCTTTAGTGTGACTGTGCCTCAGAGATAATGCCTGTTTCTGCAGTTGCCTCTGTGTTTATGTTTGGTACATGCTTTGGGGAAAGAATATGGAAACATATGGAATTCTCACACCAAGAAGAATCTTTGTCAGTTTCACCCTTTAATCTACCTCATTCAGGCTCTCAAATGGAACACCCAGAGCCACGCATAGAAAGTTCATAGAAATACACTTTAAAATTAAAGTTTGAGACTTGAAATCTATTTTCAAATATAGCCAATGCAGGGCTGGAGCGATAATATAGCAAGTAGAGTGCTTGCCTTGCATGCAGCCAACTAGGTTCAATTCCCAGCATCCCATATGTTCTCCCAAGCCCTGCCAGAAATGATCCCTGAGCATAGAGCCAGGAGTAATCCCTGAACAATTCCAGGTGTGCCCCCCTGACAACCCCCACCCACAAAAAAGAAAAATGTAACCAAAGCTACTCTATTCTTTTCCTACAGGTTTGATTACACATAATCAAAATCATAAATATTGTCAAAATAATTATGTGTACATTTTCCTTAAGATCTCAATGGATTCTTGGAATCCATTGTATGCCTGAAACCCAATCATGAATAACTTTTTAATTTCACAGTGAGTAAATAAAAACTTAGTAAAGAACAATTAGGGTATGACACTATAGTTCCTAGGAATCAAATATATTTGAACGAATAAAGAAAAAATCAGAACACATCACACATAGTATAGTGTACCTACAAAATCAACTCAAATGGATTGATACTTTGATTTCCTTTTGCAAAAAATTATGCAAACAACTTAATGTCAAGTACACTTTGTTCCACATGGGTAATATAATTTATGACTTATTTTCATTAAATCAAAAGATAGTCAAGGTTACATAGGCTATTTGAGAAGAAATTATTTTTAGAAAATCCACCTTACCTTGTTAAATATAAGAGACATAAATATTTCTGTTTTATTGTTGGGAAAAAGAACTTGGAACGTGGGAAAATGAACAAAGGGGAAAACTAAATATCAAAGCAGAACTTAAAATGTGTAAAATAATTTGATTGCAAAGTGAAGTTGATTTAAAAAACTGAAAGTACAGTAAGTAAAAAGAAGCAAGTCAAACCACAATTTTTGTCACCAAGACTTTTAGCCTTCCAAAATCGCAGGAACTTCTTCAGCCCTGCACTTTTGGCCATTTCATAACTTCTATCCCAAAGATCCTTTTCAGAGCTCCCTTGATGTCTTTGTTCCTGAGACTATAGATGAAGGGGTTCAGCATGGGTGTGACCAACATGTACATCACTGAGGCTATTGCACTGGAGTGTGAGATGTGGGTCCCACTGGAGCTAAGATACACTCCTAAGGTTGTACAATAAAATAATAAGACAACTGACAAGTGAGACACACAAGTGGAAAATGCTTTATACTTCCCTTTAGCTGATGAGATTCCATGTATGGTGGACACAATCTTAGAGTAAGAGTAAAGGATACCAGCAAAAGGACCACCACCCAATAGTCCAGAAGCAACATATAATACCATGTCATTAAGGGTGGTGTCAGAACAAGCAAGTCGAATCATCTGATAAAGTTCACAGAAAAAATGAGGAATCTCCAGGTTTCTACAGAAGGACAACCACAACACCATTAAACTGTGTAATAAAGAATGCAGGGCACTCATGATCCAGGACACCAATACCAGCAGCCCACAGAGTCGGGGGTTCATGATGACTCTATAGTGAAGAGGGTGACAGATGGCTATGAAACGATCATAGGCCATCACGGTCAGGAGAAAGTCATCTAAAACTCCAAGGAATAGTGCAAAATACATCTGAGTGATGCACCCTTCATACGTGATGACTTTTCTGTGTGACTGGATGTTCCACAGCATCTTTGGGATAGCGGAAGAGGTGAAAAAGATGTCTACAAAGGACAGGTTGGAGAGGAAGAAGTACATGGGCGTGTGGAGGTGAGAGTCTGAGCAGACAGCCAGGATGATGAGCAGGTTTCCAAGGACAGTGATCAGGTACATGGAGAGGAAAATCCCAAATATGAGTGGCTGCAGTTCTGGTTCCTCTGAAAATCCCTTAAGAAGAAATTCTGTAATTTTCGTATAGTTGTCTGGTATCATGTGATGATCTTTATAAAGAATAAAAATTAAAATTCATTTTTCACAATATAGCATTAAAATTTATTAGAATGTCACATTTTAAATTTTGCATTCAAGCCATCTATATTGTGTATGAATTTCCCTTAAGGAATCATACATAATATCTTAGACTAGGAATAGCTAATCATGTTCTGTTTTTTTTTTTTCAGAAGATGCTATTCTAAAGAGAAAACTTCGTTGTTCTTGTAGCACTCCAAACTATGCACAAACCCCCCAGAAGAACATAAAAGGGAATCAAAATCCAATTTATCTTCAAGAGAATGGAGTGATGTATTTACATGTCAAGACATCTCGCTGATTCAAATTCCTACTAAAATGGACGATTCTCAAAAAATTAGAAATTGAGCTCCCATTTGACCCAGCAATACCACTCCTGGGAATATATCCCAGAGAGGCAAAAAAGTATAGTCGAAGTGACATCTGCACTTGTTTGTTCATTGCAGCACTCTTTACAATAGCCAGAATCTGGAAAAAACCTGAGTTCCCAAGAACAGATGACTGATTAAATAAACTTTGGTACATTTACACAATGGAGCACTATGTAGCTGTTAGAAAAGATGAAGTCATGAAATTTACATACAAGTGATACTACATGGAAAGTATCATGTTAAGTGAAATGAGTCAGAAAGAGAGGGATAGACATAGAAAGATTGCATTCATCTGGGGAACATAAAGTAACAAAATAGGAGACTAACACCCAAGAATGGCCGAGATTAGTACCAGGAATTTTGCTCCATGGCTTGGAGGCCAGTCACACATGCTAAGGGAAAAGGCAGCTCAGATAGAGAAGGGAGCAGGGTGTTGGGAGGATCCTCCCAGGATGGGAGAAGCTTGCTGAAAGTAGACTATAGACCAAACATGATTGCCACTCAATGCCTCTTTTACAAACCACAACACCCAAAAGGAGATAGAGAACAAAGGGGAATGCCCTGCCACAGAGGCAGTGTAGGATGAGGGGTGATGGGAGGTGGGAGGAATACTGGGATTAGTGGTGGTGGAGAATGGGCGCTGGTGGAAGAATGGGTATTTGATCATTGTATAACTGAAACACAAGCACAAAATTTGTAAGTCTACAACTACACCTCATGGTGTCTCACTAATAAAAATTTTAAAAAATAAATAAAAATAAATAAAAGTAGCTAAATTATAAAAAATCCTACTAAAAAGACAAGGAAATGTAGAAAACTCATGAAATATGCAATGTGCAATAATGAGGAATTTTAAAAGATGAGATGGTAAAATACTTTTAATATAATGTTAAATAGGGACTTTAGAGATAGTATAGTGGGTAGGGCGATTGCTTTGCATGCGGCCGATCTGAGGTTCAATCCCCAGCATACCGTATGGTTCCCTGAGCACTGCTAGGAGTATTTCCTAAGTGCAGAGGCCATGAGTTACCCCGAAGCATTGTGGGGTATGGCCCTCAAACCAAAATATTTAAAAATTGTTAAATCATATTAAATGCAATGTGTTTGGACAACTGAGTTTTTAATCTTGGTTCTACCACAAGCTAAATTATTAGCTGTTTGGACTTGGAAAGTCAATTGCCTTACTTTGTTGTGAAAATGTTCATCAAAATAGTAAAAACAGTAACATCAGTTGTCCTGAGGAGATCTACACATTTGGTTAATGTATAAAACTTAGTATAGTTCTATTCTATTACCAATGTAACTGTATCACTGGTGACAAAATTGTTGAAGGTTTTTCCTATTATTTATTAAATGCTTCTCTTATCCTCAATGCTTCTCTACCTCTCCATAATTAGGTAGTTGAAAAAAACCTTAACATTCCCTGATTCACACAATAAAAGCAATTTTCCTGTTAGTGTCCAATGTTAGGAAGGATACTGAAATGTATTTCTCAAGAACTGGCATATCAGGGCAATATATACTTCTCTTGGTTTATTTCCTTCTAATTCTCACAGAACACCATCAGACATCATGAAAATTCTTAAATGCGCCCTCAGTTCACTGCCTACATCTCCAGGTTATAGTGCTTTTATCCTACTCACCTTGACTGCAAAACTCTTTAGCTATATTCTGTGTTCCTGATATGACTAAGTGCCTTCCTTTCCTCCCTCAGTCTTCTCTCACTGGTTTTCATTCCCAGCACTCAACTGTAAGCGGATCCTTGTATTGCTGAGTCCAAAAGACTTCTCTTCTTTAAAAAAATATGAAGGACGTTAATTATAAATTAGTCTGTCATAGCAAAAAAGTGAAGCAATATCTTGAACCTAGGCTGGTCAGGTGAGTATCTCAAGAGAGTTCAAGTTAGAGTTATCGGCTCTCATCTTCCCAGAATCATTCCTGAAGTAACTGCTGGGCTCTCAGACTCACCAGTCACGATCTTTGCAAAAAAAGCTCACCATGTGGGTGTCAAAACCCACCTGAATAACTGATGCTGCTGACTGAAGTTCTGTTCCCAAACAGGCTAGTAGGAGAGAAGTAAAACATTGTTCCCTGAGTCATAACCATCAATTCAAAAGGAACAACCAGACCCTGCTCAGCCCAAGACTACATACACTGAGAAGTACAGCAGAGGGGATATTTACAGTTTCTTTGTCTGCTCATTAGACACCGTTCGTATTGTCATCCCCACCTCTCAGCACATCATTTCCTCATGGGACTCTCATCTTGGCACAAAGGAAAAAACTCCTGCTCATTCTCTACTCTCAAGAGACTAAATTAGAAGTCAGGTAAATCCCATTTTTAATATTCTTTCTCCATAAACTCATCTGTCTTCTAAAATTCTAACCTCCTTGTAGCTTATTCCAAATTTTAGTTATATTTTCTCTCAAAGACTGCATATACTGCCTTAATTAGATCTCAAACATCTCTTAACATTTGGCATGTGGCTAAGCTGGCAGGAACAGCCACCGATCTCTCTAGATAACTCAAATTTAGTTTTCAATGACAGAGAGAAGTGTGCTATAAAAATATAAAAATTTTTTGCCATAAAATCATGGGTGTAGTTATTCGGTAACTATGGGACTCCCAGAAATGAAGGACCTTTCCTCGAGTCAGGGACAATGGATGCTCAAGACTTGTGCGGGCAGCATGACTGAGACCAAGCCACCCAAACAGGTCATAGACTCATTGTCATATGACAAAGTCTATTAAGAAAGCCAATGGTTAAGTAGAGACTGAATGTGCCTACATGCACAACATGCAGGTGATGGAGGGAGGCAGGGTATTGAGATGATGAGAAAGAAGTTGCTGGAGCACTGTCCTGGGCACCCAAAGGCAGAGACAAGGTTGAAGTACTGCTGACACCCAAAGATGTCTGTTTCCCGCGCCTCAAGCCATGGACGCTGGAAAATCAAGGCCAATTAATCTAAGTATACAGAAATTCAATAGTCGGGTTCTCAGAGAAGTCGGGACTGGGGAACTCCCTACAGGTCCAGCGACCGTTAGTGGTCAAGGGGCCATGCCATGGAGAACCTCAACACATAATTCTTGGCCTTGTAGTGCCCAGAGTGAATTGGTGACTTTGAGACATCAATGTGCAGATTTGTGGTACAACATAAAGTCATAGTCTTAATCTAATTAACAAAATATTTATAGAAGATGTATATGATGTATTTATTATGTGAAGAATGGATAGAAGCAAAACATGGCAATAGCCTGTGGACTCAGAGGTTGCAGGGTTGTGGGAATCAAAGTGAGAGTGAGAGAAGTCAGAAGAGGTGGGGCCCAAGGTCCCATGGACTGAGGTGAACGAATGTTGATACTATGGTAATGGTTTTGGTGTTGTAATACATAGACCGTAGAGACTTAAAATCACAACTGGAAAACTAGTCATGTAAGCTAATGTTATATCTTTTAAAAATAAAGTGAAAATGACAGCTAGAGATAAAAATTTTACTTGTAACCCTGACTTTCCTATCTTTCACCATGATTAAATATCCATAAGAACATTAATTTTAAAATCGTATGTATATTTTGCTTTCTGAGATAAAATAGTTATTGGTGTATCCTAAGTGGTCCTTGGGAAGTCTGGGATCCACTAGTGATTCTCACCAAATAGTTCAGTAGTTAAATGCAGGAGCCTGACAACATGATTCTGCCAAGTCTTAGGATGCTGGAGGTTACCCTGGCCACCTTTACAGTGCTTGGGGCCTTTAAGGGACACCAGGTCACACCTGGTGGTGCTTGGGTACCTCCAGGGCTGTACCCAGTAATGCCCAGGGAACTGTGTGGTGCGAGGTGTGTATTTACTAAAGGGCTGCAGTGCTCTATCTCTCTCTGTCGCCTGTGTTCAGTAGTCTCAGGCCACTTCCCCCACCCCAGAGAAGTCGATGGCAATGGGCAAACGAAGGAAGGAACAAGGGCCAGGCTGGTTGGTGTCAGTTGCAGTTTATTCCAATCTTATATCCCTTCTCCTCTGATTCTCCTTCTGATTATGCCTTTCTGGATCCCCAGCACCCTCTTACAGCCTAAAAAAATCCCAAATCATGAGGGGTTGCGGTGATAATTACATTAACAAACAGAATGATGAGCAGGTTTCCAAGGACAGTGATCAGGTACATGGAGAGGAATAGGCTAAATAGAACAATCTGTAATTCTCAGTTTGAAAATCCCAGCAGAAGAAACTTTGATAATACTGTGTCATTGCCTGGTTCAAGCTGACTATCAGAAAAGAAAATAAAACAGAAGAAGTACATGGGTATGTGGAGGTGAGAGTCTGATATAATGACCAGGATAATGAGCAGGTTTCCAAACAGAATGATCAAGAACATGGAAAGGAAAAGTCTAGATATGAGAGGCTACAGTTCTGGTTCCTCTGATAATCTCAGAAGATAATATTTTATGATTGGGCTAGAGCGATAGCACAGCGGTAGGGCGTTTGCCTTACAAGCGGCCAACATGGTCAACCCGAGTTCGATTCCTCCGCCCCTCTCGGAGAGCCCGGCAAGCTACCGAGAGTATCTCGCCCGCACAGCAGAGCCTGGCAAGCTCCCC